CCGACCGGATCGCGGGTCGAATACGTAAACTACTCTGCGCGGCGCGCGGGCGGCGCGCGCGGCGGCCCGGCGCGGCGGTGGCGACGCGATACGGCAGAGTGCGCGCTCGCTGCCGGTAGCGCGCGCACGGGTTACGGCAGGCTGCGGCGTCGCGGCGGCGCGAACGCGGCGGCAAGGCGCCGCGGCGCGGCGGTGGTTGCAACCGGGACGGCACTCAAAAAACAGGGAACCATTCGCCTCTCAGGTGTTCTCTGACACGCGTTTTTAAATACTTTTTTATTCGTTCTGCCCCCAATGCGATGGCAGCAAATTGAAAACGTAAAACGTGTTTTAAAAATTCGTATCAGTTGCTCATTTTTACGATTCTCATATTGCCTTCCTCTATCAAAATACTATTATCAATAGGAAAATATTTCCGAAAAACGAATTTCTAGAAATTCTTATCTTCTTTCTTTAGCTCGAGAATGTTTTTTAAGCAATGGTTTCCGAAAATATTTGGAAATAAACTGAAAGAAGGTGACTTTTAGAAGGTTTAAGATATTAGATTTAGATTATCAGTCAAAAAAAACTGTATGACCTAATAATTTCCTTACGACGACAGAGCTTTACAAACAAGATGTGTTGTCTGTTACAACCTTCCCAATTGAAAGCAGAAACGTACAATATGCACAAATATGACAAATATGCATTGTTTATCAATCACCGTTAGAGTAAAACAGGGGTTGCAAGTGAAGTACTTTCCCATTCATTTTAAACGTTACATCTCAATATGGGAATTGAAATCGATCATATTCATTTAACGATCATTTCTTTGTCTTACAGAAAAAATAGAAACAATAGCTAATTGTACAATATTGTCAAGTAACTTTTTTTAAGACTGTCATGACCAATATCAGTACGGACCCCGGTCATTACAGTTAACCCGTGTAAAATTTTTACTTCTTAAATCTCGCGCCAATTTGCTTGCGACGCATGGAAAGCCTACTCTAGTAAGTTTGTACCTTGCCCCACCTTTAAACATATCCTTCTTTAGATCGTCTGTCTACTTTCGATGATTTTATACGTTATTATCATGCCCTAAATGGGAATCTTACTAATTGCCAGCTTCGGATATTTTCTCCCAAAACCTACTTTTTTAGACCCACACAAAGGAAAAATATATGAAAGCGTTCTTCTCCGCACCTAACTCGTGCTTGCTAAAAAAAACTGTCATGCAAAACTCTACCTACATATATTACAATGCTTCCTAACATTGTTATTTTTCTCTTTGAGAATTTAGAAAACGTGTGAAAAGATATATCTCATTTAAAAAATCCAAAATTGTGTCAAAATTAAAATGTACAAACAAGGAAGAAATGTGTTTTTCCTCTTCATCTACAAAAAATTGGTTGCAAACTGCATCCCGATCCTAAAACCGTTTCAAAAATATGCTACGCCATCACTAAAACGATCCGCTGTGCGTGCTTATAAATAATATCTTCCGCCTTCTCGCAAGTCTTGTCCGTCAAGGCCTATCTGAGGATATGGAACACGCAAGTTACCCATTCTACAGTCGTCGCTTAGCTTGCGACCCCTTGAGTATTGTCTGTAAATCGTTTTTATTAATCGTACAATATACATACAAATGAAGTAACATAAATACAATTACTACCTGGCTTGCTTGTCTTCATGCAATGGAAAGTTACATGAAAAAAAGACCGATAGAAAGATACTTCAAACAGATGCGGTAGCTTTAGAATTCAAGTAATCGGCACAAATAGCGCCAAATCATATTTCGTCATGAGAAATTCAATGAGTATTGATCACATTACAGGCCTTATACCCCCCAAACCCATTGAGATAGTATGTCCTCCCCCAAAAATATTTGTAAATTTAAGGCCTCTTAATAAAACCTAGGTAAACGTACTATTTTTCGCTCCGTGAGAAGTGATCGTATGTTGAACTGAATGTCTACAAAGGGAAAGAATAAATTTTTGGATGATGAACGCATTAAGTGTCATTTTCCACTAGAAACTCAAAATGCGCCATCCAGTTCAACTTGTTCACAAATTTTTTTCCTGGAAAGTGCCTTCAAACCAGAAGCATGCTTAACGACAAAAAATACACGTGAGATAACTGTACACAAAACACACCACACACACACATAACTCGCATGGGTAAATGAATGTGAAAATAATGCTATTTCAAACATCTCACCCGATGTTGTAAATATGTAACGGCTGGGTCTCGAATACGTTTTAAAATATTCAATCTTGAAGATCGATAAGTATGTATATTTTGTTCTATTGAAGTCCACGTAATTTTGTGTGGAAATAAACCATCAGCTTCCTTTAGTTAATATTTTCTTAAATATTTTTGTTGTTTGATTTGTGTTGTAGAAGAAGCATTGCACAAAATCGTCATGCATATGTAGATGGACGAATTATGATTTAAATAACAAGCTGCAGTCAACGAGTTGAATTTTGTTTGATAATTTAATAAAAAAATAACCTTAGACTTTTTGTGATAAGTCGATTTAAAATGGCATGGATACTGTTCTCCCCATTCAAATCTTTTCTCTCTAGATTAAACCAAAAGTATGTTAAAGGAGGATTATTGCCATCGTAAAGTTGCATTATGCGTTATTGGTATAGACGGGAGGGTGGTTACCTCTGGAGAGGGCCAATTTAAAACTTTACGCCGGGATACAATTGATATGGAGAGGAACCTTTTCTGGGTGGTCAGCACTATCCGGTGGAAGCGAGGGCCGGGTGTCCCTGAGCTGGATGCGATTCGCTGCGCGGGATGGAGGGTCGGGGGCTCCTAGAGCTCCCTTTAATGCCGCGTGCGGCGCGCTGGAGCCGGCGGAAGGACCCCCGCCCTGCCGGCCCCACGGGAGTCCTGTAGCGCGTCGGCCAAACTCTCTCTCTGCTCACCAGGACTTACCTTACATTCTACTGTTGATCAATAGGACAAGTGCATAAAAGATTCTATGTTCTCGAAAGACAGAATTTAAACCTGCCGATTGGTCATTCTCTCCCTGAGTCGGCGTAAGCACAGGTCAATCTGAAACCAAAAAGGTCCTCGGTATTTACTGAACGTAATTGTGATGAATTTATGCTCGTGAACTGTAATTGAGACTGGTAAAAAGTAAGGTGGCAGAGGCGTAGAGAGTACTGGGCATAAGGCGGGTACAGCGTCGTTCCAGGTGTCTCCTGACACGCGTTTTTAAATACTTTTTATTTCGTTTGCACTGTATGCGTTGCATGCAAATGAGGTAAAATGTGTTTTAAAAACGTATCAGTTTGCTTCATTTTGTACCATTTCTCATATGTGCCTTCCTCTATTTCCGAAACTATTATCATTGCGAAATTAATTTCGGGGAAATTGTATCTTCTTTCTTTTAGTGCGGAATGTTTCTTTAAGTTAGTTTCCGAAATATTTGACATAAACTGAAGAAGGTGACTTTTAGAAGATTTAGATTTAGATTTATTCAGTCAAAAAACCCTGTGAAAACTGTATGTGACGTAGGGAGGAAAAGTTTATCTGACCACGTTTTCTTGAATTTCAAAATCTCTACACGTCATGTAAACTATAAAGAGTTGAAAGATGAGTAAAAGTTTAACGTAAATAAATAAAAATAAATTTTAAAAATGAATTTTAAAAATACATTTTAAAAATCGCAAGATTGGCAGCATTTGAAAAATAGTCATTTTCTATTCTGAGTTATAGAAAACTTATTTGCAACGGTACACGAATTGCAAGTATTATTTTTCTGCATTGCTAACAAAATAGCAACACACCCTTACCTCTACTCTTACCATTACAGGCAAAAGGAGAGTTCTACAAAACGTGCGCATAGTGAAGCTACATCACTACAAGCAAAATATTTACAAGCAAAACAAGGGGCCATCTCAGCATTTGTTCAATGGATCAGGGAAATCGGACAAAACCTGGTCGAAATGGAGGTCATTGACCCGGAAGTTGAAGTACATTATTGGTTACAAACATATTAAGTCTTTAAAAAAAGTATACAATACTTAAATAAATTATACAATACAATACTTTTAAAGCTCATACAAACACATCCTTACATCAGACACGTCAGACCGCGCCCGCACGAACTACTTGCCCGCCACTCCTTCGGGCACGGGCATCTGCTCCTGACTCCGCACTCATTTCCCCTAAAAATCCAGAAAGCGGTATACATGCGCGTGAGGCGGTGGATGGTGGCTTCATACGAAAATATGTTTTCCAGATTTTTGGTATCTAATAACTGAGAACTGTATTATGAGTATATTCTACACTACTCATTACTACTTGATGTTTATTTTCTTAAAATTCTTCTTTTAAGTTCTTCCTTATACAGACGGTGTTCATGTAGATCTGTGCTAAGTAACAGGAATATGTTTGAATGGCGAATCCTTGTTTTTGTTTGATGTTGTGATATTAATTCATTCAGTTATTTATTGTATATAACAATAATGTGGAGTAAATTCACAAGTCTCTATAAGTTAATAATTTTCCCTTACGGACGGACAGAGCTTTTACAAGACAAGAGTATTTGTCTGTTAAACCTTCCAATTTTAACGCAGAAACGTGACATATATTGTCAAAAATATGACAAATATGTCATGTTTTTATATCACTCGCAAGAAAACAGGGTTGCAAAGTGAAGTTACTTTCCATTCATTTTTTAAACTGTTAATCTCAATTGAGAATTTGAAATCCGAGTGATGATTTCATTTTGGCGGATCATTTCTTTGTCTTACAGAAAAATAGGAACAATATAGCTAAATTTGTGACAATATATGTCAAGTAACTTTTTTCAAAGACTGTCATGGGCCAGATTTCCAGTGACGAACGATCATTCAGTAAACGTGTAAAATGTTTACTTTTAAATCTCGCGCCAATTTCTTTGGACGCAGTGACCACTAGCTCTAGTAAGCTTGTTACCTTGACCGCGACCTTAACATGTCTTCTTTAGATCATCTTTACCTTCGATGATATTTAGTACGTTATTTATCATGCCTAAATGGGGAATCTGTACTAATTGCCAGCTTCCGGATATTTTTCTGGCCCAAAACCTACTTTTTCTAGACCACACAAAGGAAAAATTATATGCAAGGCGTTCTTCCGCACCTAACTCGTGCTTGCTGAAAAAACTGTTCATGCAAAACTCGACCTACATGATATTACAATGCTTCTAACATTGTATTTTTCTCTTTGAGAATTTTAGAAAGGTGGTGGAAAGATATATCTTCATTTAAAAAATCAAAATTGTGTCAAAATTACAAATGTTACAAACAAGGAAAAGAAATGTGTTTTTTCCTCTTCATCTACAAAAAATTGGTGCAAACTGCATCCCGATTCCTAAAACCGTTTCAAAAATATTTGCTACGGCCATTCACTAAAACGATCCGCTGTGCGTGCTGTATAATAATATCTTCGCCTTCTCGCAGAGTCTTTGTCCGTCAGCGCTATCTGGAGGATATGGAGACACGCAAGTTACCCGATTTCTACAGTGGTCGCTCAGCGTGGCGACCCCTTGAGTATTGTCTTGTTAATCGTTTTTATTTAATCTGTACAAGTGTATACATTACAAATGAATGTTTAACATAATACATTACTTACCTGGCTTGCTTGTTCTCATGCATGGAAAGTTACATGAAAAAGTACCGATAGAGATACTTCAAACAATGCGGGTTGCTTTTAGAAGATTCTAAAAGTATTCGGCTACAAATAGCGCCAAATCAATTGTTTCGTCGAGAGAAATTCAATGAGCTATTGATCACATCTGCAGGTGCCTTATACCCCCCAAAACCCATTTTAGATGTATGTCCTTCCCCCAAAAATATTTGTTAAGATTTAGGCCTCTTTAATAAAACCATGGTAAACGTGAGCTATTTTTCTGCGTCCGTGAGAAGGTGAGTTCGTATGTTTGAAGTCTTGAATGGTTCTACAAAGGGCCGGGAAAGGACATGTTGTTGGGGGATGATGAACGCATTAAAGTGTCATTGTTCCACTAGGAAGGACTCAAAATGCGCCCATCTCAGTTCAACTTGTTCCGACAAGATTTTTTTCCTTGGGAAGTGCCTTGCAAACGAGAAGGCAGCTTTACGACAAAAGATACACGTGAGATAACTGTACACAAAACACACACACACACACACACATAACTGCGCATGGTAAATGAGTGAAAATAATGCTATTCAACATCTTCACCGATGTTGGTAAATATGTACGGCTGGTCTCGGAATACGTTTTAAAATATTCTATCGTTTTGAAGATTGATATAGTTTCTAATTTTGTCTATTTGAAGTCCACGGTGGATTTTTGTGTTGGAAATTAACCATTCAGCTTTTAGTAATATTTTCTTAAATATTTTTTTGTGTTGTTTGTATTTTTTGTGTTGTAGAAGCATTGCACAAAATGGGTCATGCACATGTTAGGGATGGACGAATTATTGATTTATATAATAACAAGCTGCAGTCAACGAGTAATTTTGTTTGATAATTTAATAAAAAATATAACCTAGACTTTTTGTGATAAGTGGAATTGTAAATGCATTGGATATGTTGCTCCCATGTCAATCTTTTCTCTCTATATAAACCAAAATATTTAAATGGAAGGTTATTTTCCATCTAAAGTTCATATGCGTTATTTATTATTAATGGAGAGGTGGTTACTCTGGAGTGCTATTTAAAAGCGTTTATGCGCTATGCAATTGAATGGAGAGAAGACTTTTCTGGTGATCTAGCACATCCCTTTAAGCGAGGCCCTGCGTGGCCCTAGCTGGATTGCGATCGCTGGCTGGGGGATGGAG